AAAAGTATTTAAAGTTTTTTTATAATACAACTTATTAATATAATTAAAAGATCACCAACACAAATATATAAACTGGGGATAGTCAAATAAAATGACTATATAATGATGTAATAAATTAGGATTCAAAGTTCATGCAATATAATGTTCCTTAAATTGTAAAAAAACTAAGAAAGGAGAACAATTGCTGTAGAGAAGACTTTGTGACATTGAATTGGAAAAAGCTAAACCCAAAACAACACGTCACTCGGGGGGGCTTCAATTAGTTTTCAACTGATTTTTTCTCCCATAGCTATTAACAGCACAGGATCAATTGTGTTCATATTATTTCAATACTATATTGTTTTTGTTTTGGTCCAAACAAGTGACCGAACTGATGGAGTTTGGAGGAGTCAACTTAGAATATTATAAAATTTAGTGGTTTAAATTAAAAAAAATTTAAAAAAAAAAAACTTGATGGGTTTAGTCTATATTTTTCAAAAAAAAACTGGGGTCTAACTAAAACTTTTAAAAACTTGAGAGGCTTCAAAAGAAATTTTAAAAAATATGGGAGGGGTTTAAGTAAAAACATTCAAAAATTTTAAAGCTTAATCTAAATTTTTAAAATTTGTTGTGGGGGCCAAATTAAATATTTTGAAAATTTTAAAGAACAAAATATAATTTTTCAAATATTTGGATAGCCATAACCCTACGTGTCCCCATATAGTTCCGCCTCCCGTCCAAACACTCCCATCTTTTTCATATCAAAATTAAATTACATTTGAAGAAAATATACTTAGATCTACATCATGACTATTCAATGAACAAGATTTTTATGGCTCATTTATTTATTAATAAAATGAAAGTAAGTTATTTCTTTCTTTATTTTTGAATTATTTTTCATTCCTGTCTCTCACCCTTTTTTCTTCCTTTTACTGCATAAGCTAAGCCCAACAGGCTTGGTAAAGATCGATAAAAAAAGAATAAACTACAAAAATAGCAATTGAACTTTTAAAATATTTATATTTTGGTCACTAAACTTTTAGAAATCATAATACATTATTGAATTTTTTAATTTCTTTTCTATTATGGTCACTATAAGTAAAATTAAACATTATTGATGTGATAAATAAAACCCTTTCCCAAAAACCCTAAAATTTTCTTCTAAATTAATAGATGTCGACCTCTTTTCGTTTACGACATCATAGGTCGACGTTTTTTTCGATCGTCATTATCATTCAACACAACCCCCATTATACTCAAGAGATTCTTCTAATTACCAATGAAGACAGTTTGTTTTGTGATAAATCCTTAAAGGTATCAAAAATATTTCTAGTTAATTTGTTGTGTGACATTGCAAGTTTTTATCAAGTGATTTGGCCAACAATATATTTTTATCAGAGAACAAGAATTGAACCCAAAGTTTTCATGCAATTTTGCTTCACTGATTGGTTCAAATTAAATTAAAGTATTCTTTCAAAGTCTGACATAAAGTCTGACATGAATTCAAAGTGCCACAATTTAATTGAGAAAGTAATGAACCTAGTTTGATTAAAAGTAAAGAGCTTTATTAAAGTTTTTTTTTTTTTTACTTTATTTAGTTTCCTTTGTAATCAAATATCTATCTATATACATAGATGCTAAGGGTAAGGGTTAGATGTTAAGTTTTTCTCTCTCATCTTATATTTTCCTCCTTCATATTAGTGAAATTATTCTCATCTGCTCGTTGTTTTTCTTTTTTGGATTTTTCACTTAAATCTTGGTGTTTGTTGTTTCAATCGTAATTATTTGTTTGTCAATAATCGTTTTGATATTATAATAAATTAATAATAGAGATTCAGGTTCAAGATTATGGCAACAATGAAACACGATATTCTGTTGTTGGATCAAAACACCAGGTTCTTGCTATGGTAGAAGAAGATTCGAGATGTTCTTGCACAATTAGATCTCAACGATGCAATAGAAGGATTTGATAAGAAGTCAACAACACAATTGATGAATGATGAAAATAGTAAGGATAGTAAAGCTCTTTCGCATATACGTTTATACCTATCAAAATAAATTTTGCAAGATGTCTTGAATGAGCAGATGACTGCTTCGTTATGGGTGAAGTTAGAATAATTATCATGCAGAAATTGTTGACCAACAAGTTGCATGGAAAGCAACATCTTTATTCACTCAAGTTGACGGAAGGTTCATCTCTTGACGAGCATCTGATCGCATTGAATGAAACTATCTCTGATCTACAGACTTTAAAATTGAAGTATGACCAAGAATACTTATGACTGGTCCTCCTATTTTCGTTGTCTCTTTCCTACTCATCTTTTAGAGACACAATATTGTATAGTAGCGAGACAATTACTATTGAAGAAGTGTATAATGATCTGCACTCGTTTTGACAAGATGAAACATATTGTATATGGTTTCAAGCATCAAGCAGAGGGTCTCATGATGCATGGATCGACTATCTTAGATCGTGGAAGAAAAGACGGGCGTTCTTCTAGTAGTAAAGGGAGGGACAGATCAAAATATTCCAATCAAGGAAAAACTTGACACTTTTATAAAACGAAAGGTCATGTTAAAGCAGGGTGTTAGAAGTTGCTTAATAGGATAAAGAGAGAGGCTGAAGAATAGTCCGCAGAGAAATCTGGTGTCGTAGAAGATGTCCAGTGTGAACACCTAGTAGCTTCTGACGACAATACAAAGGTGAGCGAGGAGTGGATCCTTGACTCTAATTGTACCTATCATATGTGTCCCAACCGCAAATGGTTTGTGTCCTATGAAACTATATAGATAGGAGTTGCACTAATAAGCAATAATACATCTTGCAAGATTATAGAAATTGGCATGAACGGAGTCAAGATGCATGATGACATTGTCAGAACTCTGAGTGATGTTTGGCACATTCCAGATTTAAAGCATAACCTGATCCCATTAAGTACCCTAGACATAAAAGGATATAGGTATTCGGCTGAAGGTGGAATTTTGAAGGTTAATAAGAGTTTGCCTGTTGTGATGAAGATGGAGAAAAAGAATGGAAAATTGTATATTCTTCAGGGTTCTACGGTTACTAGTGAGACTGCTATTACATCATCAGGACTGTGAGAGGAAGATTTAACCAAGCTTTAGTATATGCCCCTAGGGCATATGATGTAACATATATCCATCTTTAGAACTCAAACTAAACATGGGATCAACACGTTTCTGGCCAATGAGATTCGATGAGATTTGACCTATAAACTGATTGCTACCCAAATCAAGCTATATGAGGTTTTTGAAACCAACAATATCAATTGTTTAAATACTCCTAGAAAATGAGGTATAACTTAACTGCAAAATGCTCAGTTTTGTAGGTTGTGAAGACTAATAAGGATAGTTCTAGTCAATCGATTCAATGACAACTATGAAAGATTTGTATAATTACTGATTGATGCATGACTGTCCCTTGAAGACATTGTTGTGGAGAGCCAGTTTCTCTAAGTTTTGATTTCCTGGGAAAAATGTCTTTCAGGATTTCACTAGAGAAGTTGTTTTCCACATAACAAAGTCATAAATATTTGTTAGCTTTCAAATTTTTGATGGGGTCGATCTACTTAGATGGTTTCGAGCAAAATTAATCATATCTAATCTTTTACAACTCATGATATCTAAAAGTAATGTGCTTGAAAAAAAAATCTGCAAGGAGTAATCTTCGTAGAGATGAATTGGAGCAAAGCCCTGATGGTATGCTGCCGTCGAAGTCGTTGGAACTAATGTCAAGGACTTGAAGCTTATTAAGTTTGTAAGAGATAATGGAATGAAACCACTAATGTTGTTGAATGAAACTTGGAGGATTTGCAGAATAAGAAGATAACTAATTACTCCTTGCAGAAACAAGAACATGAATATCTCCGAGTATATCAGTTGCTACAGAGTTTTGCTTGAAACCCCATGCCAAAAACAAAAGCACCTGTGGCCTATTCGATTAGGCGTCTGACTTTTAATCAGACGATTTAGGGTTCGAGTCCCACTAGGTGTGTATTACTTTAGATTTCTTGGAATGTTTCTTTCACTCAGGAAGAGATGAATAGAATAATTTTGTGTTGTATTCAAATTAGTAGCGGTTAAAAAAGCAAAAGGCGCTCTTGAATATGGTCAGTATTGTGTTTAGTGGTCACGATAATAAAAAAATTGCTAGACAATGACAATGCAGTTAAAAGGAAGTTTTATAATGACAACTAATGATTGTAATAAAAATAAATTAAAAGTTCAGTGACTATATTAAAAGTTTAAAAATTAGATGATCAAAATATAAACACCCTAAAAATTTAGTGACTATTTTTATAGTTTACCCTAAAATCGAGCCTATAAGAAGGATAAATTGGTACATAAAAAATATTTTTTTCTTATACAACACAAGTTTATCATATTCTCTAAATTCTTAATAGTCATTTTGTATGTTATAGTGATTGAACCAAAAGTCAATTATCCAAATACATGTTGAACTAATAACACTTGAAGACGTGTAGTCTAGGTTATAGTGATACCAAAGTAAAGGAAGCCAATGTTGACTTTGACTAAAGAGAATGTGATTGACAAACGCAATGTAATAAATACAACTGCATCAAATTCATATGAAAACAACACTTGCTCTAGCCCCTATACTATGGTGGGAAATTTAGAAGATTCATTGGTATGCCATCTATGGAGAAATCATGCTAACGGTGTCTTCCTATTATCATCGTATTATGTCTTTACAATCAGGGATGCATGATGGACAATAAGATGTGATCGTATCCCTGAAAATTTTAGATTCTCACGTAATTTAGAGATTTTCTTTATATTTTCTATGAATTTTTCTATGAATAACAATTTAATTTCACACACATACCTATTTAAGATAATTCCTTAAACCTACACCCATAGGCCATAACATAAAATCACATTTAACGGTAATCATTTGGGATGATTCTCCTCTAAGGGTGCATCTAAAATTGCTTTTCACCATCTAAAAACACCTTTTGACAAAAAAAAAAAAAACAATGCTAAACCATGAAACAGGCAGTTAAACAATTGCTTAAGAAGATGTTGAGAGAAGAAGAAAACATACCAGGAACAATACATGATTTAGAGTAAGGCTTGTCGGGGCAAAAGCACAAGAAGTTGAGCGATGTATCATTAGATCCACATACTCCACCTGAATTCCTGCATGCCATACATGGTACCATTTCCTTAACATACACTACATCAAACCCTTTATTCCAAGCATCCGCTATCTTGTCGATCCCAGACCAGAGTTCATCGAATCCGCTTCGACTAACAGGAACCATAATACGGACGCCACAACCCTCGAGTTCCGATCGATGAATTCTCGACAACGATTCATCAAGATAATAGGCATAGTTATCACCGTTCGATGTGTTGCAAACAAATCTGTTCTGGGAAGGTATGTCATCTTCGAGAGGGCAGCCATAGAATATATCAAGATCTCGAATCGACGAAGCGAAATCAAAGAGTGTGTGGTCTAATGATATGTTATAGAGTTGTTGAGGACAAGGATCATCCCAGATATCGACCGGAGCAATGGTCATCGTTCCGGTACGACTAATGTTTAATACTCGAAACCTCTGGGAATTAATATCTATGGCAGGGAACTGATTTTCATGGCAAAGGAGTTCGAATCCTCGATGACCGCAGTATCGTGGGCGTCCATTGCCCCAGAAAGGGTATCTGATGCCTTGAATGGTGCCGCAATTGAATGTTCCATTGCATTCCATGAATTGATCGGTTTCATGGGAATAAGCTACGGGGAGAACAACTAAGATGAAGGTGATGGAAGCAGAAAAGAAGAAGAAGAAGTTATAGGTATCCATTAACAGAAGATGATGAGAGATGAAGGTTGAATTATAGACAAGGATAAAGTAAAGATTTTAAAAAAAAGGAAGAGGAGCAAACACAGTGGAAACTGAGGCAGGGCTGCTTCAGCTTGTTTAGAATTTTTTATGGGTGACTGAGAGAGACGGCGGCTAAGTCTGATTCTTTTTATTGTTTCAGAAATTTTAGTTGAAATTCAAAGGTGGCGATTTTTAAATTTATTTTGGGTAAGCTACGCAATTAGTATCTAAATTATTAGTTTTAGTCCATTCTAATACTCCCATTTTTAATTTTTTTAAAATATCATGCATAACGTTTAGTTTTTATTTCATTTTAGTATCTTTCGTTAAAAACTTAACTTGTTCAGTACCTAAACTATTAGTTTTGATATGTTTTAGTACCTAAACTTTCAAATTTTTCAAAATTTAACCTTCAATTTTGAACATGTACTAAAATGAAACAAAAACTAAAGTTTTTAACGACGGGGTACTAAAATGAAACAAAAACTAAATTTTAGGTATAATTTTAAAAAATATTGAAAGTTTAAGAACTAAAATGGACCAAAATTGATAATTTAGGTACTTTTGGTTAAATTCATATTTAATAATTAAACTATCAATTTTGTTTCATTTTAGTACCTAAAAACATTTTCTTTTCTTTTTTTTCATTTTAGCACCGGTAGATAAGATTTTAAAGACAACATTTTTTCATGGTTAAATTACATCATACATCATTAAACTATCTTCTTACTCCAGTTTTGATTACTAAAATTTAAAAAATTTCAATTTAACTATTCAACTTTCAAATTGTTCTTGATTTAATCACTCTAATTTATTTTATTACTAATTTTTTTGACATGAAATTTTTATTATTATTTTATTAATATATAATAAAAATAAAATTTAAATTTAAATTTAAAAGTTAGAGTGATTAAATTAGAAGTAATTTGAAAGTTAAGTGATTAAATTAAAAAATTAAACTCCAAGGACCAAAATAAGAGTGAAAAGATAGTTGAGAAATGAATGATGCAATTTACCCTAAAAATGTTCCACATACAACAACTCAGTTAATTTTTTTAACGGAAAAGATAGTTGAGGATGAAACAAAAAGTAAGTGTTATGTATGATTTTAAAACGAATGAAAGTTTAATTACCAAAATGGAATAAATTGATAATTTAGCTACTAAATGTATAATTTACCCTTTATTTTTTAAATCAACATTCATTTAAAATTGATTTTGAAAACAATATTTTAATCATCCGTTTTTTTTAAAAAAATACATAAAACTAATTTATATTAAAAAAATCAATCAACAAATCATAATACTATAATAACTAAAATTATAATTTAATTGCATAAATTAGAAAAGTTCATAGTGTTAGTTTATATAGGGGAAAATAAGAGATTATGTGAAAAAGAATAATTAGAAGAAAACTCTTTAATTCTTATATATCACATTAATAAGAAACAAAGGTTAACACTTCAATTACATCTTACATAAACTAATATCAAAGGTCTTTTTAATTCATAAAGTTAAATTATAACTTTAATCTTCGCAATTTTATTTTTTAAGACTCTGGAAAGACATGACTGATCAAGCAAGGTTTTCATTATAATCTATAGACTGGATTACCATTCAGAGCTAAAGTACATCTAGTCATAGGTGATTTTTAAGAATACTATTGTTTAGGGTTTTTTATAATTTTCAAATTATTAATTTAAAAAAGGACAACTTATATTATTAAATAAAAAATTATATTAATTATTAAACATACATCTACCGGGTGGGTGGAGGATTTTTTAATTTTATTAGTTTAATTTAATTTATAAAATTATTAATAATTAAATATATAATATTATTGTATATATAAAAAAATGTAATCGGTACTCGGGTAACGAGGTATCCAAAAAAATGTAATTTTGTGACCCCGGAAAATGTCCAGTCGAGTACTTTTTTTAGATAATTACCCAATTTTTTAGTTCGAGGCGGCGGGTCAACGAGTTGAGTCGACTGGGTCGAATATTTTTTAACACCCTTACGATTGATTGAATACGTTTGTTTTATATATTAAAATATTATTATAATATATTAAATTTAAATAAATATTAAAAAATAAACTAAAATAAAAAATAAAGATCCACACATAAATTCTGAAAATCTTAAATTTCAAAACCTCAATGGTAATGTCTTTTTTTAAGAAACCCGATAGTTTTATTAAAAATAAAAAAATATTTAAAATTACAATAAACATTCACACTCATAATCGTAAACTTAAAATATAATTATGATAATTTTTATTATTATTGAGACAAAAACTAGCACCTAAATCACATAAGGAACCAAGAAGAAAAATGTTAAAAAACCTAATCAAAAAACACGAACAAAATAAAGATATGAACAAATCTGACTGTATCGACAAACGAATCATAAAAATGAACGCCACGAGTGGGTTTACTTTTTTTTCTATTTATCTTTATTTTTATGATACTTTTATTTCTATTTTTATAATATGTTTATCTCTCATTTAATAATTTTTAATTTTTTAACCGTTATTTGTGTTTACTTTTTTTTCAACCGTAATGTTAAAATGATGGGTAGAAATTAAAAGGTTTAATGGCGTAGAGAGTAAACGCCACAAGTGGACGTTAGGTGACATGCACTATTAAGTCCCAGCTTTTTCCAAGTTACACCGCCCAATTAATATAAAATTATTTATACAAAACTATCCATCGTGAGAGTTTAAAATACATACATGAGTGCTCTGTGGGAAGCCGCACAAAACAAATTTTTTATTAATATTTTATGCTTTCTTTAGTCAACCTTGAGTTATTTATTTATTTATGACTTAAATACACTTTTATCCCTAAACTATATCATTTTTATCAAGTTGTCTCTTAAAATATTTTTTCAGAATATTTTAGTCACTCAATTATTTGTGCGGATCTATTTTGATCAATCAACTATTTTTGTTTTCAAAATCATCACTAAACTTAAGTTTTTATTTTTTTTGGTCACCCAATTCGATTAGATTTATTTTTTAAATTTACACCTTTACTCAACACATAAATTTAATGTATAATAATAAATAATATTATAACGTAAATAATATACAACATATTTAATTTTTTCTACTTAAAATTTTAATAAAAGAAATATTAAATATTTTATAAGGTGAAATTTTGGTTCAATTATGCAAGTTGTATTCCAAATTGGATTTACACTGAGTGTGCTTCTCTTAAGAGCTAATCATTTACAAGGTGAAATTCCGATTCAATTATGCAAGTTGTATACCTTGAGCATTATAAATCTCTACCTTCTTGTTCTATACCTTCTTGTTTGGGAAATTTAACTCGTCCATGGAAAGAGAACAAGATTATAGCATCTTTGACAATTATAGGATTTCGTTATCATGAAATTTAACTCAAAATATGTGCTTGAGATAGAATGTTGCAAGTCTTTTGTTTAATTTGCAGTTTGAATAAAGCTCTTATCCTCGTTGGAAGAAACTCATAACCTTTGTCTTAATAGCTTTACCACTGTACTCGAATGTTCAATTATCATTGTATAATTTTATGATTTACAATTTACATGTCTTAATAAACAAGACACTTTAGATAACTTATTTGTTTGAGTCCTCAAATTTATCATTTTAGGAAAAAATTAATGTTTTTAATAATTAATCTTGATATGGAATTTTAGGTATATTTTAGAATTATATATTTTTGAAAAAATTTACTCGTTCTTTATAATTATATATAAATTTTGCATTTTTATTTTTTTAAATACAGAGACCAAGTTTCGCATTTTGAAAACATATTAATAATTTTTTTTAAAGAAAAATAAATTTAATTATGGTATATTATTTTTTAATATAATAAAAGTGCCAAGTTCGACCTCAGACCTAACTAAAATATTGTATATAGCACTCAATTTCAAGTCTACTCGTTTTTAATAAGCTTAAAATATTTTTTCCTAACATATTTTTATTATTTTTATCATATAACTTTTTTTATTTAACAATGTTATATATTGATGTGGCGTTAAAATTTATAAAAATATGTAGGGTATTGAATTTTTTATGTTATATAATTGTGTTAAATATTTTAATTTAATATTTAATACTTCTTTTATTAAAATTTTAATTACAAACAACTAAATATGTTGTATATTATTTACATTATAATGTTATATATCATTATACATTAAATTTACGTGTTGAGTAAAAAATGTGATATAATGAATTCTTATATTTTTAAAATTTAAAAAATAAATCTATCGAATTGGGTGACCAAAACGAATCAAAAACTTAAGTTTAATGATGATTTTGAAAACAAAAATAGTTGACTAACCAAAATAGAATCGCACAAATAGTTGAGTGACTAAATATGTAATTTACCCATGTGTTTTTAACAGAGTTAACAGATCGGGGCAAATGAGGTAACGATTTAAACTTTATGGGGGCAAAATATCCCGAAAAATACTTTAAGGGACAACTTGGTAAAAACAATATAGTTTAGGGCGAAAAGGTGTATTTAAGCCTTTTTTTATTAAGTTTAGCAAGCCACCTATATTTAAATAAATTATTGTAGAATCTATCAAATGGACTATGTAGTTAAAAAGTTTATTATTATATTTAAAGGTTTTGAGTTCAAGCAATTATATCTGAAGGTGATAGTGTTATCATTGGGCTTGAGAAAGAATGAAACCTATCCCGGGCTCACAATTAAAAATTATAATTTAAAAATAAATATTTTTTATAATTGTAGATTTAATTATATTTTTAGGTATAATGTCAAAAATTCCCCTAAATGATTTACTAAATAATCACCTTGATCTCTATTTTTTTAAGTATTTTGGCCCAACATTTAATTTCGGGGTAAAAGAGTTCCTTTGTAAATTTAAATTATTAGTTAACAAACGATTAATGCTCCAAAATATGTGTCTTTTTACCTTAAAATGAAATGTCATGTACCAAAATGCTTTAAAAAAAGAATAAGG